TATAATCTACCATACATACAACAATCGCAAATGATTTCGAAGGCATGTGATGTCCTACACCACGCATTCATAAACAGAAATCTAAGTAAATTTTACTCACCTATCTTCTCTATTGCTTTTGCCATTGCGACACGTAATAATTTCTATCTCCAGTTTTCTTATTTAATCGTATGAGAGATTTTTCCTTTGGCTAAACTAGTCTATTCTTACTTTCTACTTTCATTCCACGTTAAGAACATCTGTAAGCAATAAGCAACATTCTTAACATCAGTCACTCATATCAGAGGGACAATATCTGATCATACCTTGTGCTTTCGACCGAGATGCAAACGAGTACCCGAAAAGGGAGAGCCAGCGAGTGCGTTTGCCCCTGAAGGAACAGGCCCTTTCATCAGTCCCGATGCTATGTAAAATGGCCTACGTCAAGGGGCGCGTCATCACTCTCCATGCGTCTGCTTTTTCCTGAGTGATCTTATCCGCCTCACGTCGTCGCTGAGGACGAGGGGTGATCCTCCACGGCGAAGATCAATTAGTGATGGAATCCAATTTGTCAGAGCAAGAAACTCCGAACTATCTGAACGAACAACAAGCGTGGTGGTGTAATATTCCCACCACGGCAACAAGTAACAATTTGTTGCTTCTAGCCTGCTTGTTCGCTATTGGGTCATTTGAGTCTCGTATACGCGACTTCGGCTTCAGTGGTGCTCAAATCCGCCTTCCTCAGAGAGAAAATACAAACAGAACGGAATCGAAATTTTCTGCGTCTAGGAATCGTCCTTCGCATGCAATAATGTGACGTGTAAAATTTTGCGAATTTTCTATTTCGTGCCATTACGTCAATTAGGACGGTTGTACTTCTGACGAACTTAGATATTCTCACAGAACTCCTAAAAATTCATTTTATTCTATAGCCTGTATAGCCTTTAAAGGTTGAATGTATATTTTAAAGAAAAAGGGATTTACCTCTGGGTACTTTTCTGAATTTAAAAACTTTGCAAAATCAACACTGCTTGAAAATATACGATTTACTCGATCTAGTTTTGAATCTTTCACGTATTTCTTTATTTATGTACATCCATACAGATGCGTTTCAAAAACAGAAAGTTGGTTAACTTGTCACGAAACCGCATCTCGCGACAAGTTGCCAGAGATGGCTGCGGATTGGCTGTGGGATGTGAGATCACATGAAGTTCCTAGAACTCCCAATGCGACGGCCAATCGACAAGCTCGACGATCTCGAGTCCTAAGGCGCGTGCCAAAATGGACTAAAAATAAATATCTATAACGTGATAATAAATAATTATTGACATATAATGCGGATAATAATATAGATATAGATATAGATGTCTATATTAGTATCTATATTAACCTACATTTTTCGTTGAAATATAAATTTTCAATCATTTTTCAATATATTTCGAAACGAATCACCAATTATTGCCTTCTTCCTCCTTTTTTCTCGACATAGCTCCGGACGTTATTCGTTCCGTTTCGGAGTAAGAAAACACGGCCACGTGGCTCTCTAAGTTCCTCCGCTTTGCTCTGCTCTGCTTCGCCTTTTTACGACCCTTCTAACTGGTCCAAGAAGTGCAATCAATGCTGTTGAATAATGAGATAATTATCGGATATAATTATAGAATTAATTAGATATTTATCTGTTCCCCTACTTGCACTTTCCTAGAAGGAGCGTTTCGCGGTGGGAAAGAAAATCGAAAAGGTGCGTCTGCACCGAGGGTGCGACTCGACGCGCAGCAATCGCCAATTGAGCGTTGTTTTCATCGCAAAAGGGACCGAAGGGCTTTTCCCCGACCTATATAAAGCCGCGGGCAGAGATCGCCGCGCGAAGGGAGCGTTTCCTTTGGTTTCCTTCGTGCCGTCATCGCTCGCGTCTTCCGACGCTGAACGCTCCGCATCCGTCGACGGGCGACGCCGCGACGCGACGAGGAACACGTGACGACTCGACGCGCATGTCGTCGCGCAGGTGTCGTCCGTAACCAAGAGCCAACGGAGCGGCGTCGGATATCGGCGGTGACGGCGCTCCGCACGTCTTCTTCGCGGAGAACCGGAAGAACGAAAAACATCCGGTTGCTCTGCCATCTCGTCCCGACGGTGCTCGCCCTGGATTGCCCCACGTCGCCAATTTGTTGCCGTTTCTCCCTTTTTAGGTTAGAACCCCGTCTCTGCTATACCGGGTGTCCCGCAAGTATCGGCAAATATTTTACCGATGTTTCCTCGACCGACGCTCTGAGTTTCCTTATTGAATCTTCTGCGAGAAGAATTAATTTAATTAATTTATTATTTATTTTATTATTGATTATTTATCATAATTATTTATTAAGCTTGGAAAGGATAAGGTTTTCTGTTGTCATATTTTTGAATTTTATATATATATATTTAAAAAAACTGAATTTTGAATGCATGATTGTTTTTACAAACTTATTAATTTACTGTTAATTTTTGTGAATTTTAATATTTCTAAGTTATCTTAAAGATAGAAACGACAGAAACTGATGGAATCAATACCTTCATTAATCAATCGCTAATTGTCCTTATATTTTTCTATCTTCAGTCTAGATAGAAATAAATTGCTCAATCCCAAAACCAGTATGTCTGTAACTGAGGAAAGGATCCAGGACTTGAATCGACGTTTCGTGGATTTCATGAGTAAGCCAGAGAATGTTGAAGTAGCTACAAAGGAAATTTACGAGGACTTGTTGGATGACGTTCTCATGGGTTTCGTATTCGACATACATCGTATAACCAAGACTGGCAATTCCGACGTCGAAGAAGGCATTCCCGATGACAAATCCTACGCCATTGTCGGTACATATGAACATAACAAACTTTCAGTGATGATCATCCGCAAGGCATGAAATATTTATGTCAATTATTTTCTTAATATTGTACAAATATTGCAAGAAAAAGAATATTTCAAAAACTCTGATTTCCTGGACATATTTATAGTTCAAAAAGATTTCTTGAAAAATTTCTGAAATATTTAAAATCTTGCAATGAAATATTTTGGAAATATTTCTAAAATATTTCATGCTGTGAGAGCAAGAAGAGTTTCATTCAAATGTGAATGGGAAGATGGAAAATTTCTAAGTCTCTACATGTACAATATGTTTTTATTTAGCAAGTTTTTTTTTCATTTTTTGTATAACTCTGTAACTTCCATTTTCTGTATTAGATTCCCCCGGCTTAGACGTGTTCGGTCAGCATCCGATGAAGAAATCTCAGGAATGCAACTGTCCAAATTGCGAACGTGGGGTGGCAGCTTGCAGATTCGCTACTCATCTAGCAAAATGTATGGGCATGGGAAGGAACAGTTCGCGTATCGCATCGCTTCGTATCGCGAACAATTCCAAGGACCTGAACAACTACGGCGGAGTGTTGAGCGACGACGATGACGATGTTGACTGGAGTCTGACCAACGATAGCGGCAACAAGCGTAAACGTCCACGCAAGGATCGCAACGGTGTGAGCAAGCGTTCGAGCAAGCAACAAAAGCAACAGGGCGCGGCCGGCGGTAGCGGCTCGCAAAGGAACGGCGAGACCACCACTGTCGTCGGCAGCGGCGAACACAACGTGCACAGCAGCAACGAAAGCTCGCCGTCGAATTACGAGAATATGTCGCTCGTGGACAAGCGGGCGCTGCTCACACAAATCTGCGGCGTCGTGTCTGAGCACACGAAGAAGCTGTGCACCAGATCGGTACGATGTCCCCAGCACACCGATGAACAGCGCAGGGAGATACGAGCCAATCTGGAGACCAACGGTCAGGACAATCTGCATGTCGACGTGGATACGTACGAGGAGAACGACGGTCAAAATCTACGGGACACATTGACGAGGTGGGACCGGGAGGGTTCCAGTCACTCTAGTCCAGCCGACTCTGCCTCGACCACGTCAACCTCATCGATCAGCCGGAAACGAGAGACCAAATCCAAGGGCAAAGGGAAGGCCTCGTCGAAACGCGATCGCGGCTCCCCAATATCGCAGGGGGACTGAGGGGAGGGTTCATCTAAAACTGTTTCTCAGTCTAGAAGTGTACCTCGGTTCAGGTTCACTTCCCGCCGACAGAGAAACATTGTACGATAATGTTCCTACGAGCTGTATATAGATTGAAGGGAGATTCTCCCTTGATGATTGCGAAGTTTGCGTAATACTTAATTCTAAATATTATCTACGGCGTCCTTTTGTAATTATTATTTTTAAGAAAATAAATAGCAGCGAATTGCAAAACGAAATGTAAGTGAGATACTTGTTACCTTTCCTAGACTTGGATATCTTATTTTATTTAGTCTTCCGAGGTATTGATATATTTCTAGCTTTCAAAAAGTTATTTGACTTATGAAAAATGCATCTTCGATATACTTCTTTTAAATTCTTACGTTTTTATTAATTCACGCATTTCTGATAAGTATAGAAATAATAATTGCGAAGGATTTAACATTGCCTGTTGCTATTTAATAATCTTTTACTCTGTGGCAGTTTTATTATATAAATCTTTTATATTGCAATAAAATATTATATATGATCGAGGCGTTGAATTGCACCTACAAGATATGTGTCCTTTCAATTTGTAACATTAGATGAATAATAAATTTTCATTATTATCTCTGGTCTTCGAAGTTAACTTGAGTGTTTTGTTTTGCAAATGAGATTTAAAAATTGTTAGTACTATAGTAAGATTTGATCATAAAAAATCAAATTATGACTTTACTTTTTGTAAGAAATATAACAATTCTTACTTTATATTTCGTAAGAAACTATAATAAATCGATAAACCGGGAAAAATATGGGCATCTTTGGAGTATGTTTCAAGTGCGTGATGGATAGTCTGGATAGTTAATACCATAGGTATGTCACAGTTGCAGCGAATGGATTATAAAGATCTATCGGCTAAGCCGTCATGCAATTTGCATGGTAGAGATAAGGTGGAGGACACGTAGAAGATTAACGAATTAAGCGATACCGAACGTAGTTCGAATGGAACACTCGACGAGGAACAAGGATTTTAGTGCATAGCTTGTGCATAATGCAATTTACAGTAAGAGGAGTGATTCTAAAATATTGTATTGACTAAAGGATATAAAAAACATAAAAACTATATCGAGTAGTAAAGTTCTGTAAAAGATTGTAGGAAGGGAAAATTAACGAAAAAGATATAACTCTTTAAAATGATATAATCATAAAATTAGTTCTCACTTGATTGTTTGTTCACTTGTTTTCCAGCTTCCAAGCAGGATGCGATACTCACTACTTTGCGTTCTTGTACTTTCGTGCAATGCAGCATTCTCCGCAAGTAAGTTTTCTATAATTTAGAATATATCAGAACTGAATGCATGAGTCAATATAAATTGAACCATACATTATATAAATAAAAGTAATTCCAATTCTTAAAGTAAATACTTAAACTGAATTTCTTCGAATACAATCTGTAAGAAATTCAAATACATCGCCTTTAACGTTAAATATGCATTTATAAATTATATGTATAAGAAAGTCATAATAATTTTCGAAAAATATTTTAAATAAGTAAAAAAATCAAATTATTATTTTTAAATTATATATGATTTATAGCAAATCTAGGCAATGAAAAAAATTTCATCGAAAGATTTTATTAAGTAGTTCCTGTTAAAAGTGCCTGACGTTATAGTAAGTTTAACGGTTTGTAGTCGATGTAAGGAGACATCCTAACTGGTCGTTACTGGAGCATAATAATTGCGGCAATTCTAACAGCGATCGCATTATTGGTGGTAAAAATGCGAGCCTCGGCGCGTATCCTTGGATCGCGAGAATAGGGTACAGCATGCCGAATACTAATGACGCATTAAGCTACAGATGCGGCGGTACATTAATTAGTCGACGATACATAGTCACGGCTGCCCATTGCGTAGTGAATTTACCTGAAAAGTACGTATAAAATAAATAAATAAATAAATATAAAAAAATATTATTAAAAGGAAAAGAAAGAAAAACGAGACTTTTGCCATATATTTTACCAAGTACAAGCGTTCGACCGAATTGTAATTATTTTTAGTCTTTGAGATGAGAAGAGATGAAATAAGCATTTCTTCATTAAACTGGATTAATTTGCAAAATGTACGACGATTTCTGTGTTATTTATTAGTCTGTTCAAAATAGAAACATCGAAGAGACGCTCCAGATTATTTGAGAATTTTTAATTTTAAGAATTTAAATGTATTATATATGTTTCTGTAATTTACATATCCCTTACAACACAAAGTTGCAGCAACACTGCATGTTGCAGCAATATTGCAGAGATTTCGCAGCGATATTGCTGCAAATTCTGTGCTGTATGGGATGTGATTTTGTATTGTTTAATAAATATGGAGATATACCTAAGTTTCAAGGTCGGTGGAGTTCGTTTGGGCGAGCACAACATCTTCACTGATCCCGATTGTGAGCAGGGATATTGTGCGGAGCCAGTGCAAGATTTCCTGCCCGAATCGGTAATTGTCCACGAGAGTTACAACAAGCCGGAATTCAAAAATGACATAGCCATAATACGAATGAACAAGCCGGCAGTTTATAACGGTGAGTTTGTGAATTGATTAATCTTCATTAATCAACTTCAGTCGACTCATCTTTGGTTTTCGTAAGTAAATCTGCTTCTTTTTCTTTACGATTTATACATAGAACACGTGAAGCCGATTTGCATGATGAACGGTGAACTCCTTAGAAAGAACTTCGTCGGCAAAACAGCGGAAGTCGCCGGTTGGGGAATTTTTGATATCAGTAAGACATTTAAATTAATCTAAGCTAATAAGTTTAAATTAAACTTCATATTTTCTTCATACCTTTTCCTATACACTATCATACATAAAATTCATTTCAAAATGAGACTTTTCATTATAAAGATAGTTGGAGAAACTCCTAAGTGGATTAAATTGTTTTCTAAAAAAACATCCAACGTTTTTGGATTCACGTTAAACCAATTGGGCCTCATATTTACCTTCATACTTTTGTTTCAATCTTGAATTTACATATTTTAATAATCTACTAAAAATTTTCAAATTGTCTTATTATCAATAGATGATCCAAAGCCTAGCACGATCCTACAGACTGTCAAGCTGCCGATCGTCGAGATGGACAGATGTTTGATAGCTTTCAAGAGATACGCAGAAATATCGGAGGACCAGCAGATGTGCGTGGGTGGCGTTCCAGGTCACGATTCCTGCGGTGGTGACAGTGGTGGACCCTTGATGCAAGTGAACAGCCTGAATGGGCCTCCTAAATACTACTTCATCGGCATCGTTTCCTTCGGCGCAAAATCCTGTGGCGCTTCCAGAGCACCTGCTATTTACAGCAGAATTGCGGCATACATTATGTGGATCTTGAACAACATGCATCCATAAAAGTGTTCAATTCTATCTGTAGAAAACAAATTTATAGCCTACTTGGCGGAAAACTTCGCGTTTAATATTTTATCTAGATATGCAATCTATTTTTTTTATCTGGAATAATTTAAATCTGAATCGTACAATTGTGATGAAAATGCCTGTCACTAATATTCTTAAAAATAAATAAATCTGTAATAAATATATTAAACGCATTATTATTAATAATTTATAACTAAAAGGAAACAGTTGTAAAAATAAAGATCTTTCAATGGAAACTCAAACAGAATCACAGAATTTTCCTTACAAACATCTGAACACTCGTGGAAGTAATTATCCTGTAAAGCCGATTAAAAAAATCAGATTTAGTAAGAAATTTTTAAATCTCGCAGGATTTCTTCCATCTGTTCGCGCACAATTTATTGTTCGCGGAACTAATTAACAAGGACACGTCAAATTAATTTAAATCTGATTCGATTAGAATTTTGATTAGACCTAAAACGTATTTCTAAATTTACTCAAGCAAAACTTATTAAAATCTAACATTGTGATCTTCTTGGAAATACGACCGCAACTTCCAATCTTTTCGCGAAATTCGTGTGTCATGTATGAGATGCATGATATATACATTGCATATAATACTGCAAATGTTTAGTATGATGTATTATAGAACACTCAGAGAAATCAGGGTGTTCCCATTTTGCATTGTCAGATCTAGATTACGTCAGTTAAATACGCAATATCATCGAGCTGTTTTTCTCTACATTCATCTCAGAAATCTACGTGAATCACTTTGCGGAAGCACGTCAATGCGTTCGTAATTGCTCACAACTACAACAATTAAATATAAAACGGGAACGACAATTTCTTCCGTGAATTTTTAGAATACATGATAGAGCATTTCCTTCTTTTACAACCTGGGAAAAAATGAAGAAGATTTCACTATATATATATAGATCTCATTAGATCTAAAAAGAGATCTTAAGAGATCTTTATTTTGACCCGATGAAAGTAGATTGATGTAGATATACTTTGATTTATTTATATCCTAATATTATAAACATTTATCTCATTAGATATAATATATTTTTAAGTTTTAAAATGCGTGGTTGAAAACCTCTGAGATTTTTTTTCGTCAAGATACTTAACTTAAAATGCAATTAACGTAAAATGCGATAAAATTGCAATTGTGCCTTTCTGCCTTACTATCTTTGGCCAAAATTGTATAATAGATCTATTTTGATATTATTATATCTCTGTAGATCTCTGTAGATATGTATGCCAATTTTTATCAGATTACACTTATACATATATATATATATCTTCTTTGATATTATTATATCTTTATAGATCTAATATTTATTACATTTAGTTTCATTGTATAAAGTTAAATATTCATATATATCAATATATTCTCGTAGATCTACAATTTCTTTCTTTATATTCAATTATATATATATAAAATAGCATTTTATTTATATCGCAGATTATCTATTTAGATCTTAATGGATATAACATCAATCATGTGAGGCCAAGCTAGATTTCTGAAGATCTGATTATATCTAAAAACTAAATCTCATCAGATACAATTTGATCTTATTTGATCTAATTTGATCCACACATATACAATGAAATCTTCTTCATTTTTTCTCGGGAATGTATATTTAGAATCTCAGCATACACCAAGTTACATGTAATGTACATGTTGGTTGTAATTTCCTATTATACTCAACAATATAACTGTAATATTGTTTATTATGTTATAGTTATATTGTTGAGTGAGAAAGCACAACACCCCAGCAAACACAAAGTTACATGTAACGTTGGGTTTGCTGGGATGTAACTTGGCATTTGCTGGGAAAAGTATTTTAGGCTACAAGACCTAATGCAGGAACAAGGCAGATCTAGCACAATTGTTTCATTCAATTTATAAATGCATATGCCGCGATACTTCGAGTACTTTTGCATGTATAAGATACGATCTGTATTACGCTATTATATGTTAATTATATTTGAGTAGATAATGCGCATATTAAGATAATCGATCCATTAGTCGGCAATTAATGACTTCTTAAGGTTACTGAGATAATAACCATACTTATACCATTTGACAGCGTTAATATTGCGAGAAAGAGCGAAGAAATATTTTTTTATATATTTTTTATATTTTTATATATTCACATCTATATCCTCATTGTAATAGTTTCACCGTTACTTTTTTGTTAACATTGATAATAATCCAACAGGGATCGAAACGTTTGTTTTGTCTTGTTTGTTTATAGCCGGCACATTAAAGTTTTATAATTTAACTAAATGATATGTTTATTTACTAACGTTTCAATTTTCAAATTATAACGATAAACCTTTGGTTCGTAGCCCTTTCCTTTTTGTTTTCTTATACCATTTGTTTACATTGATTTCATAATTCACAATTGTAAGATCAATTTTTCACGCTCGATTTCTTTATTGGCGAGACACCTTAAATCTATAATCCCCTCTAGGATAATTTTTATGTAATACCTACATATTTTGCGGAAGGAAGGAGGTAACTTTTGCAATAGAATCATGGAGCATATATATCTTTCAGGAACTCAGGATTTTCTCTCTCTAAAAAAAAAGCATTATTTCATTATGTTAGATTTACGATAAATTGAACTGTGCAACTGGAATAAATTGTATATAAATATTATAAGCATATATATATATATATAAATTCTATTTCTTAAATTATATAAAAATTATATATGTAAAATAAATCTAATCATTTATGATAAATTTATATTAAAAAATGTAACGCTGATAAGAAAGCAAATAACAAGAAAAGAAAATTTATCACCAGTTATATAAAAAATGGATTGGAATTTACAGGGAAAATCCCAGTAGACCAGAGATTGCAAGGATCAATATAATATTTGTAAGTACTAATATGTATTTATATTAATCTTAATATGAGTTTATACATATTAATATTATTCAGCTATAATATATTAAATTAAATAATATATTATAGCTCAACGTATAATTTATATATATATAATTAACAGTCTATTATAGAGAGAGAGAGAGAATTAACAGAATAGAATATAGAATTTTATAGTAACCGAATATTTACTCAAAATATAGTTATAGGAAAAAGATTTGCTCCTTTTATTCCTTTTATTATTGTTTCCTGAATAAAATGTCTGTAGTTTTTATCTATAGATTACAGAAATAGGAATTTTTCTCGACTAATCCGCTCCTGCTACATAATTAACTTGGCGAAGCTTGTTAACAGCGATGGTGGGGACAGTTGTTGACCCTGGCTCTGGTCACTCTATCATGGATACTATCGTCAGTTGAAGCTCTGATCTGCGGCAAAGCAGCTATAAAACAGAAGGAGTTGCCGTAACCGAGCGAGTCTTTATTGTCAAAGTGTGCTGTGATTATTTCTTGGTATTCGGTTAATAATAACGAAATTGAATAATTCGCCGATAATGTCGACATCAATTTTCCTAGTGTCTCTGAAGTTCCTAACGTTGCTGATCATTAGCATCAATGCGCGTAAGTTGATTCTTCAAACTTTAAAAGACGTAACATTAATGTTAGTTCAGGAACATGTTGAAGACTAATTTGTTGTAATTCGTTCATATATACTCTTCCGCATTCTAGCAAATATGAAAATTCTTATAATATTAAAAGATACTTATAATAATTTTCACATTTAAAAAGTTTTTGGTACAGCCATTTGAATTCATATATGATCGTTTTTACTTATACTTAAAAGACAAGATTACAAAGAACTTGAATTAGTTCATTATAAGATCATGAATGATTCGACTGAGAACAAATTAGTTTATGTACAAATAAATATTATTAGAAAAAATAGAAATATATTCCACAGATAGTTTGCATGTACCGTTAAAATATTTGACAGATAATTTAAAATTTTCTTTTTAAAGGTTTAAAAAAAAAATTAGAATATTTATCACAACTTTTTTCAAAAAATGACTTTTTACAAGTTTAAATTATTATATCCTGATTTATAATTTTTTAAATTCAATACTGTTTAATTGCACTTTTCTTAAAGATAATTTCTCTATCTTCTAGTTTTTTTCTTTTACTTCGCATACAAAAAAGGCAAAATACTGATTGTATCAAAAGTTATCAGTGCGTAATGTACACAGCATCAACAACTGTTGATCAAATGCGTCTGAAGATAATTGCACATATCTCAAATTTAATTTCATTACTGCAAGATTAATTACCGCGGGACACGATTATCACACGATTCACGACATTATTAGTTATGAATATATGACACGCTTCCGTAAAAACAAAAATTAGGTGCCGGTTTTCGATCATATCTCTCGAATTGTACATGCAGCATTACGTCATCGAATTAATGGTTAACATCGAGAATCTTAGGAAATAATATGCATAGTCAACGCGATTGAATCAGCTCTGTTTGATTTCATGTGCTGCAATACTTGGATAGATCCTTGAATTATAGACATTTCTCATTATATCCACTACAATAATTTATATTGTATATTAATGTATTTGTGTATCATTAATAATCCATTATAATATATTTACTTTTGTATAAATAATATTAATATCATCTCTATAGTATTGAATTCTGAAAGAAAGTTCTACAAAGAGATCCTTATATAACATAGAAAAAAAAATACTGATCAGTTTCTTGTTCAGAAAACTGGAAATTCTTGATATTCTAAATTCTAGACAAATAACGAGAAGTAAAAAATATTGTATGTATTATTAAAACGAAGCGATTATGTAAAGTTATTATCTTCCAATTAAAAAAATCTCTTTGACATAAATCACTAAATAAAAAATCGCGATATTTTTGCTAAGAGAAAATTAATTTATTGGCTAATTAATTTATTGGATATAAAATAAAAATATCTCAGTTATTCTAATAAAGATAATATTATGTTTCCTTATTATTAATATTATTCTTTTATCTTGACGTCTCATTCTTATTTTTCGCAGAATACCAAAGCCCGGGAGATCAGTGTACGGTCGACAACCAAGCGGGAACATGCATGAACGCACGTGAATGTTCATTTGTGTCCAACATTCTGCAGCAATCGCGGGAGCAGGCCATCACCTACCTGAGACGTAATCATTGCGGTTTTCAAGGCTCGAATCCTTTAGTGTGTTGTGTCAACAGCGCGAGTATTAGCACCCGTCCAAGCGGCGTCGTGACGAACCCTGGGACTACATCGGGCTCGAACTCGGAATCATCTTCCTCCTCGCCTATTGAAAATTTCCAGATAGACCTGGCAAATAATCCATTGCTGCCGAACGACTGCGGCCGCGACCTGTCACAGAGGATCGTTGGTGGCGAACGTACCGAGCTCGATGAGTTTCCTTGGATGGCGCTGTTGGAATATCAAAAACGTGAGTAGAAATAAATTAATTATTAATTGATTATAGGTATATAAAGTCTTAAATAAGTTAATTATCACATAAAATAAACAGTTAATCTTATAATTCAATGTAAATTATATTGTTAAAAGTTTCACATTTTTATACAGTATCTTTTCAATTTGATATTACAGCTAATGGTAGATCCACAGCATGCGGCGGTGTCTTAATAAGTAAACGTTACATCCTTACTGCCGCTCATTGCGTCAAAGGCAAGGACCTACCAGCCAACTGGCGCCTGTCCAGCGTCCGCCTAGGCGAATACAACACCGACACCGACAGGGATTGCGTGCCGGATGGTGAAAATAGTGAGCCGGTGTGTGCCGATGATCCAATAACCATAGGTGTGGAAGAACAAATCGCTCATGAAAATTACCGGCCCCTTTCGCGGGATCAACGTTATGATATTGCATTACTACGTCTCAGCCGTGAAGTGCCATTCACAAGGTACGTTAAGCCCATCTGCCTGCCGTCCAATTCATCGCTCGGCGGCAAACTCTTCGTAGCCGGTTGGGGCAAGACGGAAACCACCTCGGCTTCGAATATTAAACTGAAGTTGGCCTTGCCCTTAACGGAGAAGAGCCTGTGCGATCAAACCTACGTCAGCGCCGGAGTCCAGTTGGGCTATGGACAGATCTGTGCAGGTGGTCAAAGAGGCAAAGACTCGTGTCGGGGTGATTCCGGTGGTCCCCTGATGGCCGTCGAGAGGATCGCCGATGGTACCGGCAAGTGGACTGCAGTGGGTGTCGTATCCTTTGGACCATCGCCCTGCGGCATGCAGGGATGGCCTGGCGTGTACACGAAAGTGTCGGACTTCGTTCCCTGGATTCTTAACAACTTGAGGCGATAAACAGAGACACTATATCATTTACGAAAAAAGATATCTTTTGATTATTGCTTGGTAATGATTTTTTTTTAAATTTGTGAAGTTAAAATATGATGTAGAGGAAGGTCACCGATACTGACGTAGGTCAGCTCCTAAAGCGCGACATCCCCTTATTTCTTAGAAACTAACCTTTGCACCATTTTACCAAATCAGCTAAAAACAAATTCTATGAATCCGAGAAGAAAATTCTTACGGTGTTCTTTTGCAAATTGCGTAATTAAAATAATAGTGACTATTATTGATAATATTATGTCATTTTAAATGTTTATAGTTTCATAAATTAGTTTTCTTTGCAGAATAGGATATATCTTTATTTATAGAATAGAAATGTTGGCATTATTGCCTACTATGTTAGTTTTGGAGCCCATTTTATCAGATCGTTTTTCCATAACTTACGAAAAACTTAATTATTGCAAAATTGTAAACAGTATTATAAAAATTGCTTATACTATCTGATAGAAGACACTTTTTAGTTTGTATTTTTATCTTTTGTTTAAGAAATATTGTCTAAAACAAAGTAATATGTCGGTATCGGTGACCTTCTTCTATAAATCTCAATGTATTTCTGTAGTCCGAGTTGCGTCTTGTAGAATTAATAGTCCCGTAGAGATACATTTACATGTTATTGAAATAGGAAATATTATATATTAATAATTTTATTAAAATTTCTCTGAAGAAATTGATGAACAAGATGCAATAAAAAATTTAAATTGTGATAAATGAGTTATATATATTAATAAGATAAAAGATGAGATTTATATGAGTCATTATAAAATAATAATTATATTTTATCTTTATTTTCTATATATATATGTATGTATATAAGGCCTATAAACATACTCAATAATATGAACATATTAAGTGACGTAGTTAAGTGACGTTAATTGCTCATTCGTTTTACCTGTATTTATATTGACATGTTTAATAGCAATATTACTTACAAATATTCTTAGCGAGTTTTATTCAAACATAAAGTGCAATAAATGTAGAATAAAATTCATAATATTGACAACAAATGATAAAGAAATCAATATCCATAAAGCAGTTAGCATGTAAAAACGACAATGTGTAAAAAAGTATTTTTTATGTTTGTGATAACACTAATAAAAACAAATTAAAATTCTTCTTTAACTGTATCGAATTAATAATTACCTTCTTTCTTTTTCGGCCTTGTTATTCCGGATTATTCTCCTCTTTCTCTTTTATTGTCCTAACATCGTTGAATAATTCGTTTGTATTTGAATTATAATGGTTTTCACAATTATATTTTCTTAAATTACGGTATTTTCCTTAGTATTACCCTCGTATTATCCTTTAATGAGATCACTCTTATCATCGTAATGTGAATCCTTGATTCGTCTTGTATAAGATTTATATTTTTAGGAAATATATCAATTAATCATCAATAAATTGCAATATTATTTGCAATACTTATTTGCATTTTTATCTGACTAATATAAAAAAACTAAATCGATTTCCTGGTAATTCCACTTTTTTTTTTAGGAAAACGTATAGTATCTACAAAATCGTGAATTGACGAATCGCAAAACTATGTAATTGACGATTACGTCATTCAATATTCATATCTTTATTTTCCAGAGTTATCAAAACGAATGGGGTCATTATGGAATATGATCTATTGACTGACTTATAATGTTGTAACAGTTTATCCTATGCAACTTCGAAAAATACGACCAAGGACATTGTACTGTACTAGAAAATCAAATTCATTAATTAATTCAGATACTATTAATAAATCATAAATATTAAAAATTTCTATATTATTTTGAGGAAAAACGACAAACAGAAAATTTTCTCCTCGAGCTTTGCGAGAGAATAATACTCGAGAATTACAATGGTTGATTAATTGCTGCTAATCATGTGCTATTAATTCGTTAAATTATTAGTCTTTCAGAGAGAAATGCTTTTTCAATATCACGAGCGAAGGAATCTTCGCATTTTGTTGTGGTCATAGATTACGATAATATATTAAAAAAGTTTGTTAAATTAAATAACAAATAAGTAAAGAAATACGAGCGAGCAACGTCTTTAGTAGTCAATTTGGAGAAAAGTATTGATATTTCATCATAATTTTTCTCATCTGTCAACCGATGACTAATAATTACATATTTTAGCAGAACAACATACATCCCTGCAAGAGTTCGATCACGCAGCAATATTATCTTGGGAAACTCCCGGTGATTATAAAAATTACGATGTTTATTCTTGATCAATCTTTTCTGGCGAGATTCGTGTTATAATTATCATTTTCCGAACGAGAATAATCTTTAGTTTGTTTCAATATCCAACTGTTTTACCAGTTTCAATATTCAAAAGTCTTACCAGTAATATTACTTTTATGAATGAAAAGAATGACATCAACATTCACCCGAAACTGTTCATTATTCGTATAAGTAAGGGTTTCATAAAAGGATAATGAAATTTTTTTTAAGGAAAATTCGCGCATTTCAGATTTTCTTAGCATTTTACGAATCCCACTCGATAAGCTATAATTGTAAAAGAGTGATGATGACGAATGGATCATCGCTAACGAACATCCCCACCGAAACCAACAGAATAATAGGCCCAGCAAGTAGTAGAGGAGCTTACTTGATTGGCGATCAGCCGATCAGTATTGGTTTTGATTTGACCTGTGGTACATCTCGGCTTGAATACGCGACGAGAATCATCGAAGCGAAAGAGGAAAATCCCCGCTCGATCTGATTTTTAAGGGACAGAAAAAGAGGGAAAAAAGAGAATTCTTATAAAACGAGATTAATTAGCGAAGAATAACACAAATAAACATGATGTCCATCGGCTTATTTGTCTTTTTCTTCGCTTTAACAGCAATCGATGCACGTGAGTATGATTTCATTAGACGTCAATTCGTTGCATTTGGGCATTTTCATTTGAAAAAAAATATCTAGTTCTTTCTTTAATAAAGTTCTAATACTAAATCTTTTCTTGACATTTTTTTAAATATCATGCGCTTATTTTAAATCGTACGGACACATTTGGTACAATTAATTAACATATTTACAATTATAAATGCATCTACCTGATTCTCATCATGCATTTATCAAGACGCTTTCCCAGGTGAATATTATTTAAGATATTTCAATTCACAATATGTATGTTCAAAAATGCAGGATTTATTCTAAATTTCAATAAGACATGAATTTTAAAGTTTGTTGCTTAAGAAATATTAACTGATTAAATTGAACAATAATTTACCTTTACAGAGAATAAATGTTCAAATAGTGATGCTAATTGCATCGACATTCGCAAGTGTCCGGAAATCATATCTATCTTAATAAGTTCAAGATCGTTTTCGGCAGAGACATTGCAGACTCTTAGAAATTTGCAATGTGGCTTCGAAGGCAGCTATCCGAAAGTTTGTTGCAGTCAGGTAGTTGAATATAACACATTAATTTATTGACAATAATATTAACTTAGAATTAATTTATTAAAATAAAAATTAATAAAATAAAGTTAACTAACACATAATATAATCTATGATCTCTAATCAAAGAAAGACAATTAAATCTAATATAATTTGAAGCTAACTTAAAAAATAAACGAAAAACTAAAAAATTATGAATTATGTATTATAAATTATAATTATAAATAAATACATACCTTTCGCAAATATATTACGGCAACACCATATTGATAATTTTGCTCCTCTATTTGTTTCCTATTCTTTATTACTTAAATACATTTATAAACAGTTAAAAGATTATTGGTAGATTGATTATTGATTCTCGTCGAGGGCATCAGATTAATGCGTTTCGGATAATTGATAATTCATCATTTTCCATGAAATATATCAAATTGTATCGCATGCTGCCATTATTGGTGTACGTAATAAAGATATATCGTTGTTGCGAACCGTTTAATAATCTTCTCAAATAATGCTGAAACAAATTTCTGTGACCTCGACTTTCTGCTTTATCCTAATTTTGTACTAGGATATCAACTGAAGCTTTACTCGTCAAATCTGATATTTATAAAATATTCTATTATATTATACAGAATAACAATGAAGTCAGATATTTTATTGTTATCACACTGAGAAAAAAATATCTTAATTTTATTGCAATCAAAGTTCCTTTATAATTTTTTTTATTTTAGGTGTAATATTAAAAATATATTTTTCTAAATAAAGCAATGAAAACGTTTTTGCGCTCAATTTTTGTATATCTTTAATATCCATTCGAAAACGCATTTCATGTATTCACAGAACTTAATAAAGCTCTCTACAACTTGGTATTGTTCATCATTATAACATTGTTGAATTTGCGATTTCATATAAAATGCATTAAGTGTTTACAGTTTTTCCAATTTTGCTCATATTAAATATTAATCTTTGATAATAGGCATCAACAACGACAACGACAGAGGCTCCAGATCCAAATCCAGAAAATCTTCCAAATCCACCAGATGTAACGAACCACCCGAATCTACGTCTGTTGGATCATACATTGTGTGGGCCCGTCACTCAGCCGAAGGTATTCGGAGGCAACAAGACTGGAATTTTCCAGTATCCGTGGATGGCATTAATCGCATATGATACTGGAAGACCAAATCCGGAGTTCCGTTGTGGCGGCACAGTCATCTCCTCGCGCTACGTCCTCACCGCCGCTCATTGTGTCACTTTCCTTCCAGGGGGTAAGGAAAAAGTCATAAAGTCATATTGCCATAAGTATGGCAAAAATTAGAATTAAATTTTAAACTTAAGAAGAAATTAAAGAGATTAAATTTAAAAATAAAATTTGAAAGATACTCAAGAACGTTCGTTGTTCTCAATGGCGTTTATTATAACTGGCATAAATTTGTGTAATCGTTATTCTCCAGGTCTACGACTGATAGGCGTCAGGGTAGGGGATCACGATATAAGTAAGGAACGTGACTGCGATACAGACTCCCAAGGACGTGAGATCGTATGTGCCGAGAGGTATCAGGATTTCGGTGTGGAAAGCTTCCAGTTCCATCCGGAATACACGAGAACAAAACTGCAAAATGACATCGCGCTTATTAGGTTGAATGGTACAGTGGATTTTAGACCTTGGAATGTCAAACCTATTTGTCTGCCTTTTGGCACTGCGACATTATTACATAGCAAAAGGGTGAGAATGATTAATATACTTCCATTTATAATTAACAAATAATAATAAAAAAAAACAATAAGATTTATATTTATTTTGCTTCAATTTATTTAAATCTACTACTGATTTGATACTATAAATAGAAAAAGGAATTTTTAAATAACATTTTCTCTCTCTCTCTCTTTCTCTCTTTTTCATAAATTGAAATATTTCACAATTGTATCTCTTTGAATGGATTCTACAGTCCATCAAACTTTTTCGAGAAATATTTTCTACCGCTTCTAAAAATTGCGATTCGGATGTATTTCTCGATTTTCGTAAAAACTACTTCATTTCTATTTCCAAATTTTGCTTTTGATTTTCAGATTGTAGCAATCGGTTGGGGCACTACGAAGTTGATGGGTCCGCGTAGTCAAGAACCCCTGCAAGTGACGCTGACACTAGTGGACAACGAACAGTGTAAAGAAATGCACAGACCGACCATGCAGATCTGGTACAAGCAGCTATGTGCCAGCGGTCGAAAGAACGTGAACTTCTGTTTGGCCGACAGCGGCGGACCCCTGCAGGCAGCTGGTATATATAATGGTACATCAGTACGCATGATCCACTACGGTGTGGTCAGCTACGGACTGGAGCAGTGCGATACCGATGGATTCCCTGGAGTCTGCACCAATGTCGCCTACTACATGGACTGGATTCTCAACACACTGACAGATTAAAGCGAAACTGAAACATTGCGGAATGAAGTCTTTTATATCGAATACCTACTTTTAATCTCCGTGCTCAGAATATGGTGATGCAAACGCGGTAATCTCAATTGTGATAAGAATGAGAAAATAAATTTAACGAGGCGTTTGATAAATAGTACGTAGATAAAAAAATTGATTTCAAAAGATTACTAAGACGAGTAATAAATATATTGACCAATTACTTAATATTCAGAAAACTGGACAAATGAAAAATTGCGACATTTTTTTATTAATTGTAAGAGGAAATTAACTTTTAAATTAATTTATTGGATATAAAATAAAAATATCTCAGTAATTCTATAAAAGATAATTATGTGACTATGTTTTCTTCTTATTAATATTCTTTTATCCTGACATCTCATTCTTATTTTTAATACCGAACCCCGGGAGATCAGTGTACGATCGACGGTCAGACAAGAACATGCATAAATGCGACTATACATTGGTCTCCAACATTCTGCGGCAATCGCGAAAACGGGCCATCATTTACCTGACACGCAATCATTGCGATTTCGAAGGCTCAAATCCTTTGATGTGCTGTGTCGATAGCACAAGCATCAGCACTCGTCTAAGCGGCCTCGTGATGAACCTTGGGACTACATTGGGCTGGAACTCGGAATCAACCATCTCGCCTATTGAATTTTCAGATAGACCTGGCAAATAATTCATTGCTGCCGAACGACCTGTCGCAAAGAATTCTCGATGGCGAACGTACGAGTTCGACAAGTGCTTTCCTTGGATGGAGCACTGTTGGAATACGAACAACGTGAGTATATATATATATATATAGAAATAAATTAATTATTAATTAATTATACATTAAATCTTAAATAAGTCAATTATCACTTTATTATATAAACATTTCATCTCATAATTAAATGTAAATTATATTATTAAAAGTTTACATTTTTATACAAAATATCTTTTCAATGATATTACAGCCAATGATAGAGAGACAGCATGAAGCGGTTTCTTAGCAAAGTAAACGCTACATCCTTACTGCCGCTCACTACGTCAAGGACAAGGACTTACCAGTCAACTAGCGCTTGTCCAGCGTCTGCTTGGGCGACAGTGACACCGACATTGATTGCGTGCCGGACGATGAGAATAGTGAGCCAGTGTGTGCCGATGATTCAATAACCGTACACTGAAAAAAAAGATTGGTTGCTGCAGCAAATTAGATGGTAAAATACGG